GGCGGCACATCATCTTCCTCCGATGCAAAACGTGTGCGTGGCCAGCGATTGCGAACGCCTCGTGCAAACGCTTCCGGTGGTGTCTCAAAGAACGGTGGAACACAAAATCGTAACAACACCAGCGATCCCAGAAGATGTTCTCTCGTTTTCGGGTAGTCTTGGCGTGCTGCTTCTACTTCTCGTTTTCATCACTTACGGACAAAGAATCGTCGTCGGCTGCCAGCAAAACACACCGGACAGCCACCATTGAAGAACTCGAGGCGAGTATAAACAGACAGAGAGGAAACGTTTCGAAACGTAGAACCGGCACTGAGACTGAATGATTGACTGACTGAATGGCCGCGACTGGTTGACTGGCTGACGCGCGCTTCTATTGCGAGCCACTGCGTTCCTTCTTCTCTTCCTCCCCGTTGCGGTTGTTGTTTTAGCAGGCTTTTCCCTCACACTCTCGATTTCTGTCCTCCGTGTCCTTTGGCGAGGACGAAGCCCGTTAGTAGCCCTTCCCGGCTTTTCCACGCGACGATTTTCCCGCACGTCGCGCTTGTGACGTACGACTCTTTCTCTCTTTCTTTCTTTCTTTCTCTCTCTCTCTCTCTCTCACGACGAAACTATCGTTTTAACCGATCGAGCGAATTGTCCAAGAGTTAGTGCCGCGTCTATCTCTCGGACGAGTAAACAACAAGAACGATGACACCGCGGATTCGTCGGGAGAGAACGTACGAGAAACGAGACGAATACTAGAAAAAAATAGACTGCGTATATACTCTGTTTCTATATCGCGGACTGCGTGTGCTTGTGATCAACGGAACTGACGAGCAAACGTAAAAACGTGCACTACCGTCTCTCTCTCCCGGCTGCGACGAGCGAGGCGGTTAGAAACATCGAGCACGAACCTGATTGCGGGGCGGCGCACCGAATTATGGGCCGCTATACGCTTTCGGCGGCCTCTCGCTCCCTCTCCACCTTCTGCCGCTCTCCTGCTCGCTCCGTTGTTCTCCCTCTCACGCTGCCTCTCATCTTTCGCCCCACTACGCCGCCTGTTGACTTGTCCCCACCACGCGTTTAGCTCTCCGTCTCACGCTAAAACACTCACCCCCACCACACGGGATACTCACGCTACCACGCTGCTAGAGCGCTCTATAGCCTTTCCCCTACCAGCGTGATTGTTAGCGCGAGCGGTAGCATTGCCCCTTGCGCCTGACTCCAAACTACTCTCGCGCGAAAGCAACGTTGCCACCTTACGGCGTAGCCGCGGGCAGACGACGAACGCCGCTGCTGGCCGCGAGCTAACGTGCTGCTGTCGCGCTGCCTCGCGCGCCCGATCCGCGCCTCGCTCGGTACACGCGCCTCGCTACCCCTTGGACCCTCGCTCACGACCGGAAGTCCCGCTACGCGACGCTCCTCGTGTCGCCAGACAGACGCTGTGTCTGACCATCTCCTCATCGCGGTTGATCGATGATCGGATAACGCGCTGGAACAGGTAGCCAAGGGTTGCTCCTACCGCGGCCATGGATGACTTTCGATGGGGAAACTTGACGGATGTCCCTGTTTATGTTTCGGGAAGATCGGGAGAAATCTTTTTCTCCCGATGAACACGAAGCTGGCACGGAATCGAAGACCCTTGGATGCTTATTTTTTTGCTTTCGGTCGATCATTTGTAACGATAAAAATCTACACATAAGACGCACAACTTGAATATCCGGCAATGATCGTTTCCATTATTTTGAAAATACGAGTGAGTCTTTCGAAATTCTTTTCGATTTCTCTTTTCTCCTCCTGCGATCCGTCGCGGTTCCGCTAAAAATAATGGTTTCCTCGAATAATCGCTGAATGCGTGTGCGTCTTATCCGAAGATTTAAAAAAGCCAAAGAAGAACACGTTGTCCTCGAAAAACGACTACTCAGAGAAACGATGACCATTCAGAGAAACAACGTTCTAATTCCAGCCGCCAGTCTGCAGCACTGCATAGTGCACGTTGTTCCCGCTTATTTTACGCTCCGAGCACTTTGTTTTACGATCAATAACGTTCGATTGGAACGTTCGTGGCCATTCGTTCGAAAGTAAGTGCCGCTTTTGTCGAGAGCTGCTGGCGTTCGAGGTAAATCCCGCGGAGAATTGTTATCACTAAAGGTCGGTAAAGAGATGTTCGTGGCGAAGAGGGGGTGGCTATCCTCTCGCGGAAAACTGCAGACTCGTTTCCTCTTTCACGAGCTATTTTCTCTCGTGGCGTTTCTTTCACCCTCCGTCAGATGTCGGCCCGTCGGACGAGCCATTGGAGGTGGTTTCGTCCCCCTTTCGCATCTCACGCCACGAGCTTCGCAACATCACGGCCAGATACTCGAGTTGAATTTCGTTTTCAGTCGGCTCAGTCCGTTCCGTTAGATGTAACTTGATAACGCGTAATTGAATGAAAACGCTGCACGCTTTAATGACCGCCTTGACATAAACAGCTTAACCACGTGTCGTTGTTCCGATGCGGGTAACGAGAGATAAGAAGCAGCGTTAAGATATAGAAATTTTCATAATTTGTTCGCGACTTTGTACGCTACTCGACAATCTCGAAGAGAAACGTCGCTAGTGCAGGTTCGTTGATTCATCGCGAGGTGCAGGTGTTGGTCCATCGATGAAAAGTCTGAAGTTACATCTGCTATTCGGGTGATAAATGGAGCGAAACATCGATGAATGTATGAAAGATATTAGATACGTTTCTTTCTGTCTTCACAAAAATATTAGGTAGAGCGTCCTATTGAAAATTTATCAATCGTATCTAAATATCTTCGCAAATGACACTCTAAGAATATCCTTAGGCTGCAGGACAATCAGACGCTACTGTCTAGGTGCAAGGTCATCCCTTGACACCTAGACTCTCCTAGAAGACCAGCAGTCCACCTATTCGAACAAACCTCCTTTCGATCTCATCTTCTATCGAAACATTCCCGACATTGGATCGAGACTATCTCTCTCT